CCTACGCATAATAGAGACTCTTTTCAAACAGATATCTAAATATACGCGGCGGCGCAGGTCTAGTATTCCGTATCGCGGTTACCAAAATATCAGTTACTCTTTTAACCTTTTCCGTTTTCTCCGTTGCTCGTCGAGCGCGTTTATAAATGCCGCGCTTTCCAACATTTTCTCTTTCTTTATCATGCTACATTAATCCGGAGGGAAAAATCAATTTCACCTTTCCTTCTCTGCCGGAAAAGGTATCTATGGATTAGTGGTACCGATAAAGGAATCAGAATCGTTCTATTTAACTTATCGATAACCAAGATCGACGAGATAACGATATGATTAAAAACGATAATATACGATTAAAAAAAACGGAAAGTAAAAAACTCTTTTCTTTTATTTTCCATTTAAACGGGCTTCTTGTTATTCTTCGCCTTGGGGAAAAAAAGGAAAACAGTGTTATAAAGGTTGCAAAATAAGCCTTCTACTGTAAATAAAATCGCGATACCGAAGATAACGGGTAAGGAGGGAATAAAAAGGAGACTGCACATGTTTGAAACATCAACGTCGAATCGAATATTCGCGGGCATGCAAATAAAAGAGATGAAAGAGAGAGAGAGAATGAACGAGGGACGAGGAGGAGGAGGAGTTCCAGCCACATTAGGAGTACACACCTCTAGTAGGAAGTGTCGCGCATCGAGTGCTCGCAGCGCCTCCGTCGTTGTCCCTTGGTTGCTCGTGATACGGCGATATGTTGGCTCGTTTCATGAATTTCAATTTCCTCCGTCCTGTCAAAATGATCGGTCGCGCGGCAATGGATCTGAGGTTACGAATCCAGCTGAGGAACGTATCCAGTCAATGCATACTTGGCAGAACACTGTTTACAAGAGACGTCGTTGCGGTCGACGACGAAAGCCGTTCCCGAAGGCGCAATCCTCTTCGATGTTCCATTTTCCAAGCTATCCCTTCTAGAAACGCGTATCTCGACGAACGCATGACTCGCAATCGGGAGCGAACAGATTCGGATGATTCGTGCACACGGCACAATGCACGCGTTCGACTTTTTTTCACCCACCGTTGACCGACCACCTTCTCTTCTCTTCGGTCGGTTCACGGTTTGAGAATAGATAGGCGGTCGACGCGACGGTCGTCCGTCTTCCAGAAGCGCGACTCGTGTCAATCGAATCGACGCTTCGATTCACCCGAACGATAGGTTAACTCGGAAACCTTCGACCGAGTCATCTTCATCGATCGCATGCTCTACCAGTTTCGTCGAACGAAATAACACGCCGTTCGATCGGTTGAACAAATTTCACAGTTCTTCAAACGAAACCGATACTTAACGTTCACGGTACAACACGATACGGATATGATACGATACGATACGATACACCACACGACACGGTATAGTAATATGGCTGCCTAACAGAATCGAACATACCGACGGTCCTCCACTCTGTAAGGATAATCGGTGAAAGTCGAACAAAAGTATTCTTCCCTGTGAATCGCCACAGTTTTGCAGGTTTTCGAACCTTTTAATTTTCACCGATTGGAAAAGTGTCACGAAACGCCACTTTCGTGCCCGCCATTACTCCGAACGGTCTTCCTTTCTGCCCATATCCCTCCCTTCTTTCGTAGTCTTTCCTTTTCTTTCTAACACGACCGATTCTCACCGCCCCACCTCATTCGCGCTCTGTCTTTCCCTCCCGCCCTTCTGCTGCACTCGTCCACTTTTGCCCCTACCTGTCTAGCCATTGAAAAGTACGCGAGGCGACATCTATCGACGAAGCGCCCAAACTAGTTCCCAAATCCTCTCGGTCGATAATATCGTTTTCTATCGTATCCATCTTGCTCTTATCAAATATCGATAACACAGAAACCTGAATTGCTAAAAGTGTGTATTCTTGCTTATGAAAGCGTTAAAAATATCTCTGCATGACCGTATCTAAATTTTAAACATTATATTTTTTGATCAAAGTAATCTATTGGTTGATTTTTGTATACAAAATTTTATACAAAATTATCTGCAATATTCAGGGTATAATTAGATATTCATTTCACAACAATAACAAACAAATTATGATAACCTAGGTTGGTTCGAAGTTCAGTAAAACTATATACGCCTCTGGAAATGGCAGACGCGAGACGACATGATGTTTTGTCGGTGACGCGACAACTTTCTGTTATCGAACTGCTAGGGTGTTGCATTTTACGCGTTGTGTCGTGGTGCCACGATTATTGTTCAATATCCAAAAACTACGACAATCGATCTAAAGTAAACTGCAGTACACGTGAAAGTAATACGAATTGAAAGATCGTTGCAATCAGCGCGTGTCTGCGAACCTACAATGACACCAACGTCGTGACGCAGACACTGCAGCAACAAACGTAAACTAGCAGCTAGTTCAAAGTAACGTAAACATGATGCTCCCAGTAATTTAGTTTTTAATAATTAACGATGATTAAAACATATGAAAAACAATTATTTACAAATATTTCAGGTTTCTATTTTTACATAGAACATCGCGTAACTGAAACATCCATTTATAAATTAAAAAGAAAAAAATGCACGAGACAAGAGATTACATAAATTTAGTGCTAACGGTTAAAAAGTATCCGGTATTGTACGATCTCAGTTGTAACGATTACCACAATAGAATTGTACGAAATAAAATGTGGAAAGCAGTGGCGCAAGAAGTGAATGCTACTGGTAAGAATCTTTCCAAATTCAAATGTATCATAAAAATATATGTTTATACGCGCACGTTTTCCTCGTAGCAGCCGAATGCAAAGACAAATGGAAAAATCTGCGTGCCAGTTACAGTAGGCACTTGAGACATAAAATCACGGGAAATTCCAAGTCCAAGAAACCATATTACATGGCTAGTTACATGGACTTCCTCCTTCCCTATAGTAAAGCTGGCAGGTGACTGTGAATTGGTAACGCGGTCACGCGATCCCTCGTCTGTTTAAGGACGATCGCCATCCGGCTAGGTTTTATCTTCTTGTACTTTCAGACAAGACAATTCAAACGAGGAAGGTACTGTAACACAGGAGGGTTGGAACGACGAAGAGGTCGCCTCGGACGCATCATCTAACTACGAAAAATCAAGCAAGTGTGATCAAAAAATTCCACTGTCAGATAGAGATACCGATACGAGGAACGAAGAGCATGCGTTCTCGCGAAACAATGCGATTACATTCGCGAACGATAAATTACTGACACAAAGGTCACCCGATAATTATCTTCTAAGCAATAGGCAAGAACTCGACGAGTCGATCAGCGATCCTGACTGGTTGTTCTTGAAAAGCATATTGCCAGATATTCATCAGATGACCGGTCCAGAGAAAAGGACCTTTAAGGTATCCGTGTTGAGTCTGATCGTCAAGATATTAAATGAAAGGGAATCTATAGGGACATCTATAGAAAACGAAAATCCTAATTCTGTGATGGAAAGTCAAAAAGATGAAGAGGGAGATTGATTTTGAAAATCAAGGAATCACCGCCCTTGGTCACCCACACTACGCTTTTTGGGAATCATCCCCACTTCTGACACCAATTGTAAAATGGCGGCGTTTGTGTCTTAGGAATCACCACCGTCCAACTAACTATAGAGACTCGTCAGGGGGACTGACCCCGGTTCAGTTGTAACGATTACCACAATAGAATTGTATGAAATAAAATGTGAAAAGCAGTGGCACAAGAGACGACGGTCCCTGTCCCAGATGCCTGAGTCTACACCCACACAACTTCTATATATATATATGTATACTACGCAGGCCATGATGGACCGCTTGCGAGAAAGATAAACGACACCTTACGGCCATCACGGGAAGGCCCAAGCGTAGGGGAAACGACGCCATGTTCCGCTTAAAAATCCCCATACAGTGCGCATGCGCGCACGTGCAGCGCCTTGGTAGATAAATTGTCTTCACAGACTATACTACTTTTTCGATATAAGAAGATCCTAAGGAAAATTGTGTATTCTAATTTGTTTTTTATAAAATAACCATGTACAATAACACAAAAGTTCATGAACTTCAATATAATAAACAATAAAAATATCTTAAAACTTGAACATCGTTAATTACCAGCCATCAATCGAGTACGAAAGGATTTTAAATCAGATTGTACCTTCATTGGCGTATATCTGAACTTTCGTTCTCATAAATTCTCTTTTCGTTGAAAGGACAAATATTTTGAATTCTACAAAAATTAATGCTAAGTTGTTGAAAAAAGTATCATTTTGAACAACCAAAGAATCTATTGTAGATAAATAAAATAATTGTATAGCACCATTACTATGATCGCTAATATATAAATTAAAAGACCTTTTGTGAAAAGTATTGTTTATTATCTGTCTAATGAATACCGAATTTAAATATGAATTAAAACCGTCAATTTAATTTTCTACAATTATACATTAGAGTTTGAAGATAAATGAAAAATGTTTGCTAGTCACTGCTTGAACTTATCAAGAGCAAAGCATATACACGTCACACAGGCACACTTGTCGCGTCAGTTCTCAACACGACGAAACGGGGGACATGGACGTGCAACACGGGTGAAGCATCATAGTAACGACGTACCTGAGTGGCAATTGTCGACTACGCATGCGTCGATTCGAAAGAACCAACCAGAAGGAGGCAATGCCACGGTAGGGACACTGGAGGGGCTCTTGGTGGCCTTGCGCGTTCTTCCGATTCCGTGGAAGCTGGAGGCGCGTCCATTTTGTCAGCACGTACGATCCCGGGTAGTCGACGCCGGTGCAAAGTATAATTCCCGTTTGCAACGAGTTCGTGTAGTAAGGGTTACGAAGCCAGTGGCTGTCTGTCGGCGGCGGTCGTGAATTCGTATCTCGAGCGGGAGCAACAGAGAGCGCGACCGGCAAGCGTGAGAACCTACTACTTGTAGATACACGCGAGAATCGGAGAAGCCGTTGGAAGAGAGTCGTTGTCGCAGGGCCGCGAAACGCGTCGCGTACCCGGTTCGTCAGTAGTTTAGTTTTAACAAGATGGCGGAATTACAGGGAACCCCGGTTACACAAGACGCCCTGTCCGTAGCCCAGTTAGAACTCGGTGGGAATCCAAATGCCTTAGCTTTGCGTAGGCCGTTTGACCCGGTGGCACATGATCTCGACGCAACCTTCCGCCTTACGCGGTTCGCCGACCTAAAAGGATGAGGGTGTAAGGTCCCTCAGGAGGTTCTTGGAAAACTCCTCGAGGGACTACAGGCCGACGATGGTAGCGCACAAGATCATGAGCATGCCCATTTTATGCACATGGCCATTCCACGCATTGGTAAGTAGATTACTTTTATTGCGCGCGTACACGAATCTTTATACGCCGACATCTTTGATTTTATGCCGCGTCTTTGTTTTCTCGTTTTTGTTTTTTTGGTTAATTTTCATTTTGTTTATAGCAATAAAAGCATTAATATTTTCCTATCGTTTGGATACTATTTCAACATTTTAAAAACCATTTACAGATAAAACCAATAATGCTAGAAACACTATTATTAGTCATGAAAATTTTGCCGGTGCAAATTTTTTCCTGTACGGTGGTACTTGATAAGATTAGATATTATCAGTTAGTTTTTACAAAATTTAATTGTCCTGAAAAGTTACTCTGTTAACGAAACAAAAATATGTTTGTAAATAAATATATCTACTGGTAGTACTTAGAGTACAATATTGCAATAGTCGGTGCTATCATACCAGCAGCCATGTTATCGCCTCCCGCCCGATTTCTCCCACGCCACCGGAAATATGAGTGTTCTCAACTTCTTAAGATGAGACAATGTATCCACACAAACATGTATTATGTTTCAATAATTATGTATTAGTATGATGAATATTGTATTCCATGTTCATGGTTATGGACTTAAATAAACATTTTAATTTTAATCCATAAATATATTTCTATGTCCCAGGTATTGGCATGGATTCCTCCGTGACACCACTAAGGCATGGAGGGCTTAGTTTGGTACAGACTACAGACTTTTTCTATCCACTAGTTGATGATCCTTATATGATGGGTAAGATATAAATATGATGTCTGTGACTGAATTAAAGATACCTTATTTTACCCCTTTTAGTCTCTGTATTGCATCAATATAGATTCATCAGTTTTAGTAACTTTTTGTATTTCCTTTAGTAAGGATAAAATGTATTTTGTGACATCCTGTTTGACCATAGCTATTGGAGTACTTTTCTAGGTAAAATTGCGTGCGCTAATGTGATCAGTGACTTGTACGCCATGGGTGTCACTGAGTGTGATAATATGTTAATGCTATTGGGAGTCAGTACAAAGATGACTGAGAAAGAAAGAGATGTTGTTGTTCCTTTGATCATGAGAGGGTTTAAGGATTCTGCTTTGGAAGCTGGCACAACAGTGACAGGAGGTCAGACGGTTGTTAATCCTTGGTGTACAATAGGAGGAGTTGCTTCCACTGTTTGCCAACCGAACGAATACATTGTGTACGTGCCTTACCGCAACGCCGTATTCTTAATCGATTTATTTGACTCTTGATAATAATTTCTAACATTTAGCCCAGATAACGCAGTCGTCGGTGATGTTCTGGTTCTAACAAAACCTCTTGGAACCCAAGTAGCTGTTAATGCTCATCAATGGTTGGACCAACAAGACCGTTGGAATAGAATTAAACTTGTGGTCAGTGAAGATGATGTAAGGAAAGCTTATCAGAGAGCAATGGACAGTATGGCCAGGCTCAACAGAATAGGTACTTGAAGAGTTATGTATTGAATATGAAAGATTTGAAGACAGGGAAGCAATGATTGACTTCTTTTTTTTTCTAGCTGCCAGATTAATGCATAAATATAATGCGCATGGAGCAACAGACGTAACGGGTTTTGGTCTTTTGGGGCACGCACAAAATCTAGCCAAACACCAGAAGAACGAGGTCTCCTTTGTTATTCATAATTTACCCGTTATTGCAAAAATGGCAGCTGTGGCAAAAGCCTGTGGTAACATGTTCCAACTCCTTCAAGGCCATTCGGCAGAAACCAGCGGTGGATTGCTTATTTGCTTACCGAGGGAACAGGTTCGTAACATTTTATTCCATATATCGGGATGATATATCTTAAACCCTGCTAATACAGTAGAGTATATTATGTACCATGGAATACTCTAAAGAAAGGCAGGAAGAGAAATAGAGTTTCCCATGCCAATTTGCAATTTTTGCACTTTGGTGCATTCGATACTCTGACACTTCATTTTTGATATTCTATACAATATTACTCATTCAGAGTATTTATTTATGGTTTAAAAACGAATTTCAGGCTGCTGCATATTGTAAGGATATCGAAAAGCAAGAAGGATATCAAGCATGGATCATCGGAATTGTCGAAAAAGGAAATCGCACAGCTAGAATAATCGATAAACCACGAGTGATAGAAGTTCCAGCGAAAGAGAAAGACGGAGAGCTTTGGTAAAGGATCGAAAATTGTCGTTGATCCTTTCATTTACCGTCATATGTTTAGAAGATACCACACGCAACACAGGCAACACGCATTTACATAAACAGACACCTACAAATTCAGAGCACTTTATATGTGCACCATTCTACGAGGAGCTAACGAATTTTGAAATCTTTTTCACTGGATAAAATACTGATGATTCTATGTTCGTTCCGTGGATTGAAAGCGAGATGTAACAGTAACGATTTATGTGTTATCTTTATTAAAGTTTAATCTCAAGTTTATAGTTTAAGAAGGTAACCGTTTCGTTCATTTTTGGTTTTTGATTTTGTCGATGAAGCCAAGAAAACGTTGCGGTATAAATACTTTCAACATGTTCTTAGTGGTCTTCCTGACAGCTTTGAACGCTTATTTGAAACAATTTGATAAAAATACGGGGAAACAATGAAAATGTTATGAATTATAGTCTAAGATTAAAACTAAGTACATTATAAGTACAGCAGCCCCCCAGGTAGCACTAGGCTCAGGTTAAGCTTTCAAACTGCATTTGATCAAACTTGCGACACGTTGAAAAACGTTTTGGGTGCTTAGCGTCAATCAAGAATGTTAAGATACACAAATGGATGGAAATCGTGATTACAAAGATCTATGAATATATTTTAAAGGGGTATACAGTATCACAACAAATTTTAACGATACAATGTACATTATTTTAATTCAGGAATTAGGAAAGAAGAAACATTCGAACCATAGTTATGTAAATGCAAATTTTTTAACAGAGGGGACGTTACTACCCCGTAGTATACAGTGACAGGCTTTCAATGCCAATGAGATTTTCACAATTTGTAATTTTGATCTATTGTTACATAGAACGTGTAAGATATCCAAGGGGCGGGGGGGAGAAAGGCCTTCTCTAGTTCTCTCGTTATATACGCCTTTGAAAATAATTATAAAAAAAAAAGAAGAGATACAAGAAAAAAGAATGAGCACAGGCCCTAATGTTGTATTACTTTTTCATATGAATAAAAGTGCTACTTTGTCAATAAACCAGTCGTGTCATTATTATCAGTACATCCTTCCTTAAACTCGTTGGACATAGTCCATGATAATGGAATTCTTATTCCATCATTTTTTCACAGAGAAAATGTTTTGTAATCGCGTTCAGATTGCGAAATACAATGTAAATTTACATCAGTGACAAGCACAATGGCTTTGAAAATTTATCGCAAGGCAGCCAACAGGAAGGAGTAAAAAATACCAGGCTTCTACGTTCATTGGTCGGTCCAGTTATCTATCTACCGACGCTATAACTGGTCGCCATCATGGTTCACAGGTCAATCGTTATGTAGATACAGTAACATGTTTCGCCTGCCAACAGCTGTAGTTAGCATTGCATTCGAGTGTAAACGTTGTCGTTGAAAGTTAAGGCGTAAAGCGAAAGGTTCTCCATAAAAAATTAACGCATTTTTATTTTTTGTTTTTGTAAGTGACGCTTCAATGGTTGCGTTATCCACGTGGTGTGCCAAAGCTGCGGCCTTCAGGGCCGTGATAATGGGCGCCCCTGCTTCCGGCAAAGGCACTATGTCAGCTCGAATTGTAAAACATTTTAACGTGGCTCACATATCTAGTGGCGACAAGTTACGTCTTCATATGAACAGTAACACCGGTACGTTCCAATTAATCAGTCCCTTATATCGTCGTCATTTCTTTCGTCAGCCACCTTAGACTGAAACCTCTGCTTATCATCATTTTCAGAATGTAATTTGTCAAAAAGATTTTTCGGTTTTAGGAATGTGTTGACGATATATAAATGTGCTGTGAACTCGAAAGTTCCCTTCCAGATGCTTTATTTCATGAAACACAACCTGAAGAACGATTGTTTCTTCGATGTTCTTTAACAGGTTAAAATTATCCTTGTTTATTGAACCCTTTATATGTGATATCATAAATTTAGACGACACCGGCTGAATGAAACGCGTGTCGTTCTGTTATAAATATTCATTCAAATGTTTCAACATCCGGTTAGAATTACACTGCACTATTTTGTTTGTTGCTTTTTTCTGCCGGTGTTTCATCGCTCCAAATAGCCCGCGTGTTATCCGAAATAATCGGTACGGTCACGTGCAACATAGACTTCCCTTATTCAAAAGAAAGTATTGGAATAAAAATGTCCTACCACTTGTCTTATTTGCATATGTTCATTACGAAAGAAGATTCTATGTTAGACTCTCCATAGCCCTTTCAAGGTTCCTCCTGGGTTCTCCTAAGACTAAGGGCAAAGAAGACTAGTGGGCGGCTTTATCCCCTGCTCTTACTTTTAACCAAGAGAAGCCTACATTGCACCCGAGTGTACTGTCGAGTATTTAAATATAAATTCCCTTCATTGGTTTAATCGAGCCAATACACTTTGCGAGTCTTATCGACATTGGCTTGATTAATATTAATACATGTATGACCCAATTATTTGCACTGATCTTTACATTTTTTCACGATATCATAAATGAAAAACTATTACAAATAGAAAATTATAATTCTGTAAAAAAGAAAAACCAAAGTTCCATGTGAACCAAGGTTTCAAACTTGAAAATATAAGTAATGTTAATGTGAAAATCAAGATGAATATAATCGGATTTTCAATGATATAGAATTGGGCAAAGCAGTTTCAAGTTACGTGAAATCTGGTAAATTCGTTCCGGACGATGTAATGATTTCAATGATAGACAAAGAGCTTGAATCGGTGGGACAAGAAAATTGGCTACTGGACGGTGAGTAATTAAACCCGATCGAAACTTTTGATATCTTTAACGCGACCGTCAAACAGCTACGCAACATCGGCTAAGTTTGAAATAAATAATTGGCATTGGTACAGGATTTCCAAGAACGTTAGAACAGGCGGAGAAATTACAGAAAAAGCATCCCGTGAATCTTGTACTATACCTCGATGTACCAAACGAAGTGATACTAAATCGCGTGAAAAATAGGTGGGTTCATTTACCCAGCGGAAGAGTTTATAATGTTGGATTCAACAGTCCGAAAGTACCGGTAAGTAGAGGGGGAGAATTTAAATATATACCTTTGGCCGAGTGCCTACTTAAAACTTCATAATTAGATCGTTCCCTCTTGATTTAAGAATGAATGTAATTCTTGTTTCTAATTTTCAAACTGGTACAGTAATCTTTTGTCTGTGTGTTAAATAGGGTAAAGATGATGTAACTGGCGAACCTCTAAGCAAGAGGGAAGACGACAAAGTTGAAATTGTACAGGAAAGACTGGAAAGGTACTCAGAGGCAACTAAACCACTTTTAACGTATTATGGTAATCTAGGAGTATTGAGAAATTTTCGTGGCAATACTACCGATGAAATGTGGCCACATGTCAAGGATACTATAACAAACTTTTTATCATAGTCTTTGGTCTGGATGTAATGGTTTTTAACGCATAATCAATTACGAATTAGTTTAAATTTAAATAATTAATAGCGATGACATGCTTCCATATAGGCAAGGTAATTATACAGTAAGATGTTAAATGTTATTTTTTTTTTTTCATACGCACAGGTACTGATATGAATTGAGTGTGTGAACAAATAATGTGGGGAGGATCCGTATATTTTTCTGTAATTTTTATATATGTATAACAATTGAACACTTTGCTTCTATACAGTACAAAGTTTTTCAATTTTCTATCTACCATTTTTACTTTGTTTTATACATATATCATTTGATTTTATATTGTCATTTTTATATTTAAATACACTTGTTGCATTGTCAAATTAAATTTGGCAAAGATATTACTATATTGTAGAAGAATGAGTGTTCGATAAAAGTTAAATGATAGCTCGAATCTGTTATATTTTATATAAATCATTTATAAAATATTGTTGTATCATGTAATGAGAAGGGATCAAAAATGTTATGGACCGATTGTGAATCGGTAAGAGATATTTGTTAAACGTTACATGACAAAGGTGTACTGAAATGTATTCTGTTGTAACAATAAATAGGAAATAAACGTTCAAACGTAATTCTTATAGTTTCTTTGCGTGTTTATTTTTAACTGTACCGATATAAGAATTTTAACAATTTTCAATTGTACAGATTTTAAACAATATGAGTATAATATACATGATATATCATGCTCACATTTCTTCTTTTCTTTGAAAAATCAAGTCGTATTTTCTTTTTTTTTTTATAATAATAACAATATTTTAATATGATATACGTTTGTTAATAGCCTGTTTCTTTTTCCATAACATAAAACGTTATGTCGAACTAAATGATGCAAGCACGAGAACTTAGTATAAGTTCAATAACGATCATCGAAAGGCAAATATTAGTATTTTAAATAATAAATAAATAACTTAGACTTTTATTACGTGAACTATAAATTAACTCAGGCTTAAATATTATAACAGGTAGATATGGTTCGATATACGTTTTACGCGTTGCTGTTCACACACGCGCTTCTTTAATTCAAGGACAAATTGAAATACGGTCATGTTTAATCTTGACAGGAAATTTAATATTGCTGCGTTAGTTATATCAGGAACATTTCCGTTAAGGAATTGAGAGATATTTATAAAAAGTTACGTTCCATAGCAAAAATCGTCAACTTACGATCTACGTAAGCCTCGACACGATTATCAATGAGAAAATAATAAATATCTTTCTAAATTATATGCTAAATTAATTTCTTAAATAGTTAATTAAAAGCAATGATTATTTCTTTTCTGAGATCAAGAAATAAGGTAAATGAAAATTGTGCAAAAACGTAATTGAAATAGAAAAGCCGCATTAAGTTATGATCACAGAATTATGTATCGACGATATATAACACGTCTAATATAGATGTACTATCGCGAGGAAAAAAGTATTCGACATATTTTAAATCCATGTCAGTCGTTCAACGAGCATGTTGAGATCTTACAGATCGTGTTGCGGCATAAATTCATTTAAGAAAATAACATTTAACTGTCCCAATTTTAATGCAAAGTTCTACTTGCTGAAGTCATTAATTGGTTTATCTTACTTGTACATATGTATGGACGAATGAACGGAGAATTATGATTAATGGCAGCCATTATCATTATTCTCCAAAGAATTATTAATGAATGCCTTTAAGTACACAGTATTCCTTAATGCTGTGACAAACATCTTACTGTACCAGTTCAAATTCCTCGCATTCGTCAAGATCATCATCGTAAGATTCATTACCTGGAAAAGAGGTAGCAGAAGGAATTGTTTCAGCAATTTCAATGTTTCGATGAAGATCTTTTCCGCTCCCTTCGCAGAATAAAAACATCGGATAGTCGACCTTTTCATCTTCTGGCACCAAATACTGCAATGTTAAAAATATACTTCTTGTTGGCTATCTATGCCGTTTATAACGTAATTCAGTATCTATGGGGAATAGTTATACATACAGAGGGAGAAATCTCCATAAAGTTAGTAAACTGCACTCTGCTGTGAAAATAAAATCCCACGCAACAGCTGGGATCCATTTTGGAAATTAACATTTTTCTTGGTGAAGTACAATGAAAACTTGTCAAGGGAAAATTATCTTTTAATACATCAACAGTTTCTTGACAATAATGTGGGTCTAGATTAATTAATTTGTCTTCCTGGAAACCAATGAAATAAAGAGAATGCCGAGGTCGACCACCGATAACTCCGATACAAGTTTCTAATGTAAGTAAATGCGTTAAACAAGATGTATAAACGGGATTTAATTTATCGGTACCAAGCCTTAAAGGTACGAATAGGATAAGAGACTTCCATTTACCGTCAGGCATTTGACACACACTTTCTACATCTTGCAGATAAACTGTAAGCAAATATTATAATATGATTAGATAAAGACCTCGAACGTTATTTATTCCAGCTACAACTATTTTATTACCTGCGCAATCTTGAGCAACATAAACCGCTAAATTATTAAATACTGGATGATTTTTAGCTGCATGTTCCACCGCTTGACTTAACAGATGAGCAACAGAAGACGGTCCGTACCAATCTCCTGCGCGTTTTCCCCATAGAGCACTAAGAGACACAAGCGCGTGTATAGAAAATGGAGATATACGTTCAGGTAAATCTCCAAACGACTGTATAATTAATCTGTGATGACTTTCATTCAATTGTTGTTGTTCTGTTTTTATTGGTTGATCCGGTTGCCACCGCCATTCTGTAGGAAAAATATATATTATGTATACAAAAAATAAATATTTATTTACAATTATTACATTGCAATTTCTTGCTAAAATTTTTAAAGAGAATAAGTGCCTCTTCCAAGAAAATGGCAGACCAGTGCCTGTGCCAACATCATTTGGCCGCTACGTAACATACAACCCCAACCGCAGTCGGTGGTATACGTGGAACCATTTAATATAGGAAATTCTCTTCTGTATGTTAACCAAAGACGCGACGTAAAGTCCTTTTTGAATTCCTCGATACCATCTTCGAAACTAATAGCATCCATTGCTAAGGATATCTCGCTTCCTGTATCTAGCGTTTTCTCAGCTTCTGAAGCTTTCTCCAGAAATTCTTCTGGCTTTTTACGATAAATTTTCCCAAGCAAACATACCGGAGATTCTTTAGAAAAATTTGGTTTCACCATCTTAATAGTCCAGCCTTTGAATAAATCATATCTGATTAATACTCCTTATACCATAAGGAGCGGATAAACGAATTAGATCATTTTATACTAACCATATTTTACATTATTCCACATAGATAATAATTTTGTTTTCACTTTACTATCAACCTCGGTTGTAGCATTAGAATCATCCATGGGTAGTCCATTGTTTGAGTTAGTTAATTGTATATTTGGAATACGATCTGTAGCAATCATCCCAGAAAACAATCCAATCGTACTGTTAGTGAAACCTCCTAAAAATGAAATGAATATTCGCATAACAATGGGTTACAACGTTTCTAAGAACATTCAATACTGTAATCAGTTACAGGAAACAACTGTTTATACAGACAAAGTAAACATAAAGAGTTGAGGGCATGACTAATAGAAACGAATCATCGTTCGTTGCGTCCATAAATGGTTAAATTAAGAAACGATTTTTCTGTCACTACTCGTACATAATTCGCGTTAAATCTGGTACCTACCTAACCTCTCCCTGGAGGGTTGCACCTGTCCATTCATACCCAATAAGTAAATCTTAGAAAGCATGTATTCCAAGACATTTAAGTACCGCAGGGAAAATTGAATCACATTTTCGTACTGGTACGATTGCGGTTACGCCAAAATCGTACCACTGTATCACGTGTCGTTCAAACAACTGATTAATATTGTCACAGAACAATTTAACACGATTATGCATCGGCCGATGCACACGCCGAGCTTAATACAAAGGCTTGTTACAAGCCTACTGTCAACTTAACGCTTCATCTCCTCAAAGTGAAATACCAGCTCCGTAAGACACTCTAAAAACGGCTTCCTCTCTTAAGGACGTGAGTCAATTTTCGTGAATAAACGAAACAAGCGGTGTGACTAAAAGCAAACGATCGAAAATAGTTTGAAAGACACTCGGAACAGCCGACAGAACAGACAGGACGCGTGTTTACAAAGAGCGTTGTGAAATTTAAAGCGCCCGTTATTAACGTCGCTCCCGCCGTCTAGCGGACAGCTTAAACGTTATATGATTGCACGCAAGTGCATTGCTGACTCGTTAGAATTGCGCTGACCAAATCTGATTTCGAAACGGTTATATCTTATCGAAGAATACACATATTTACACTCAAGAAATATTTGATCAATCGAGCTAATATCATAAGGAAACAATCAATAGTTTCCTTTTTTTGGTCTTCAATTGGCACTCGATAACTACATTTTACGCGCGACTTTTTTTTATCGGTGTATCAATTACAAAAGTAAATTTTTTCAAATATAGATTCGATACACGAGAAGTTACTAATTCCCAGAGAAAATAGTTACAAATACTTCCTGCTTAAAATAAGATTATTCTATTTTTAAAACGAGGTTCGAAATTTCAGAGTATTCTTTAAATACTCTATTGCCGGCAATCGTAATTCATCATCCCTTTATGTTGAATATTCTCGTTATTGCGGTACTATGTATAAACGGATACGAACTAGTTCCTCGAATGGACCACCATTTCGTTAATTAATACCCTTTCTTTCGAGAGGCTAACAAACGTTACATCGCTTTTATCCGGAATTAAAAATCCCCTACCGTCGACCCCGGAGCGTTTATTCGATAAAAACTGAACCGAGCCCCGGCAGTCTGTTTAATTTATTCGAATTATTAATTAAAACTTCATCTTCGTTGACTTTGCAAAAGAAAGAAAAAAAAAGAGAATATTACATAAGAGAGTCGCGATTCTCCCATTTCTTGATTTTTGAATATTAATCGATTACCGTCTAAAATGGTATAACAAAAAATGTTGAATCACGACAGCCACCAGGAGAGCAGGATTAATGGAGAAATAACGAAGCACAACCGGGCTACGTTATCCTTTTTCATCGCGATTGAATAATATATACCTACTTTTATCAGGAAGGACCAACGAAGGGAGGAAACGATTCGTAAAACGGTCAGAAAAGGACAGCCGGTAGGTGCGAGGGGTAAAAGATTTCGAAGAAAGAAAGAAAGAAAGAAAGAGAGAGGGATGCGGCGTGAACGGATAAAGAAAGAGACGAGGTTAGTCCGTCATGCGCGTCTTGTCGCGGAATAACCAATGAGATACGCGTATCCCGGCTTACCTCATTGATTACCACGTTCGCGCTCGTTCTAAATTTCACATTGTGCTGGTTGTCGCGCAGCTATGGCAAAATATGAATTGGTTCCTGGTGACGGGCATCGCGTCCGTGAAGCAAGATTGATGGAAGGAAATGGAACGACGTGCCTGTCAGGACAATAATCTCTTCTCTGGTTGTGTTGCATTAACAATAGCCGACGGCAGGTGTATTGAAAGCTTCGGGGTAGATTTGCGCGATAGGGATGGGCATTGGCGTAACTAGGATTTTTCTCCAGGAGGGGGCTAGGTCCTTTAGGTTTATTAAAAATATCAAGTGTCTAGTGTGGTTTTAACCCTATTTCTTTGGGAAGGGCCCAATCCGTATTCTGAAAGGACTAGGCCAACCCCTGCCTCTTACTTAGCTAGGTCAATGAAAATATAAGTAATATGCGTACCTGTGTATAATACTAATAAAAGTCGGCACGCCGTTGGAAAATCAACGTAAAAGGCCTTGCATAGCGGAGATAATTATTTATACAATAAGTATAACTCGTTCTTGTTTTGACGAGTCGCAGGGGGTAAGGAGATAAGGGTGGGATAGAAAGGGAGTGGGACGGAAATTAGGTCATGCAAGAATATCGACGTAATCACGGTGCACGGCTCGAATAAGGACATTTAACGAGTCACGCTTCTTCTCTCGCGAGATCCTTTCTTCCGTTGCGTCGAACACGGCCGATCAATCCGCCGCCATCTTGTGGCGCGGTGATCTAACGTTGCGACTGGTCGATACAGAAGATCGATCGGTTGGTTCGATAATCGATGTCATTTGAATTTACTTCGAGTAATTTCAAATAATTGAATTTGAATGATTAAAAACAAAAGTTTTTAACGGAGTGAGTGAAATCTTTATCACAGTTTTTAAATTACACAAAAAGTATTTGAGCCTATGCCCGAGTTAAAGTGAAAATTGTGCAAATATGCAAGGTTCCTGAAACGCGGCCAGCTTTGGGCGATATTAGCCGACGGAATCGATAAATCGAGCCAAAACTTCCGATTGCGGAATTAAAAGTCTATTCTCCGTTGACTCGATCATTATGGTCGTTTCGATTGGGTCGCTAATTACTCGACAGATCCAGTCTATTCAATCAGTTCTCGCAAACTGTTTATATTTCGAATCGAAACACTAAATTCGAGTTGCTTTCTATCCATGAGAAGGTTTCTAGGCACACTTCTAAACGCTCGAACGCAACTTGACCCGTTTGATTAATTTAACGCTCACCTTTGGCAAACGTTTTCGTCACCACTGTTCACTGTAATTGTTGGGAATTGAAATCAAGTTGAAGATGCGCCAGAATCAACGGCTAATTGGAATTATTAAACGATCCGAGAGTTCAAACTTTCGAGTGTGAATTGAACTTGATTTCGAACAAAGTTTCTAGGATTTTCAAGTATTGTTTACAACATTTCTGTACTATTGAACGGAACTGAAGGGAATATAAATTGTTTGCGAAACGTACACGACTGGTGGTTAGGAGAGTTCGCGTGAATAAGTATGCGATAAGGGAAAAGAAATTGCTGAAACTTGTGAGTCGGAGGTATAATTGATTAATACCGTGCACAGCTGTTCGTGGAACTCGGTGAAAAATTGTTCCAGCTTATCAGAGATCGAGAGAAATTGACAAAGTTTTGCGAAATCGACGGATGAACAACGAAGCTTGAAGCTTTCGAGTTCCAAATGAGTTTCATATTTTACGAACATTTTATACAATAACCTACATTAATGTTTAATTATATGTTTTTCAAAAAGATTCTAAACCCGAAAACTATAAAGACTATACGATTCTCTGCATCGAAACAAACAAAAAAGTTCTTTACCGTTTTTCAATCGGTGCCTTCGTTTCCGAGATACAAGTAATTGAATGTTGGGCGTTCGACTTCCGGGGTAACCAGCAGTTCGCGCATGCGCCTGCCGCAGCACCCCGGAAGTGGAACAGCCAACTTTCAATCAGCTATATCTCGAGAACGGAACGACAGATTAGAAAATGGTAAAGGACTTTTCGTTTTGTTTTCGCACGAAGAATCTACATTCTTCGTGGCGTCCGTTTTTGTTGAGACAGCCTTCGTAACCGTCCTTCGTAACGAAAATGGTTAAGGATATTATTCTCGTCGCGAAGCTTGCCCCGGACAGAGTAAATCTTGCAAGCTTCACTGTCTGACGCGAAACGCTGTTTAACCTGTCGCTCGTGCAAACGCTTGAAAATCGCCGGAAGGCAGGAAACAAGGATAGAATCGTGGATGCTCGCTTCTGTGAGCACAATCCTCTTAAAAAGCGAGCAAACAACATCGAGCTTCAACATCGTCGCTTCTGGTTTTCTATCGTTTCCTTGGAACCGGTGTGTGGATTTTGATGAACGAAGCTGTTCGAGGAGTATGCTACGTTTGACGGAATACTGAGAACGGGTTACCGAGCTAACTGGGTCGTTTACAAATTCTTCCAAAGTCTAATAACGTTCGAAATGATTGTTCTCTTAAAGGGTGGATGAATAGAGCCAACTACTCGACCTCCACGAACTTTCGACTCGTCGTTAAGTACAGAGACTGGTAGATTGTAAGACACGTATGAAATTGGTGTTGTAACATAGTAATGTACATTTATACAAGACCCAAAATCATGGAAATAATTGAAATTTTGTAGTAAACATAATAAACGTTCAATAAAGATTAATTATAGAATAAACTCGTAGTAATCCTACCTGAATATCCTACACAGATTGTTCGCGTGTGTAAAGACCATTGGAGAGACGGTTTCTTAAGACGTCAACGCGATTAATCGATCATTCTCCGTTCGGTTCAAAGCATAAATTTTCTGCGTCCGATGCAACGTTACTATAATTTACAGGTGGCTGATGCATGTGACGCGTTACGTCGCCGATGATTGTTGTAATATTATTACAGCTGCTGGTTAACACGGTCTCCAAACACGCGACGTCGAGCGTTCAATTTACGGAATTAATTATGATCGATTGTAACCAGGCCGCGAAACGTGTTTTTTTTTCCCAAGGTGAACGGACAATTATTCCAGTTTCTTTATAAGCGAACGAAAAATGAAAATTTCGAGAAACACAGACGTAGAATAATTTCTGCATTGTAGTAACAAGAAAATGAAGTTGAAGCCTAGGTAATATACCTAGGTAAAAATAATAAATGAAGGCGTTGACAAGTATCTACTTGGTACAAGAGTGCGAAGCATCCACGGGGGATGATTTGATCGAAAAGAATTGACGGGAAATTCGCGATGTACGGCACTGACCGTGACGACGGAGGTGCAAGCAAGCAAGCTGGAAAAGTAAGCAGCGGAAGGGTAGCTGGGCTCGTGGTGGTAGGGCGTCGCGACGCTTTGGTGAGGGTAGCAACAGAGACGGGAGGAATCACGTGCGCGCGCGCGCGCTTGCCAAAGAGGGAAAACCGGAGAGATACAGGGGGTGAA